CTTTTTAGACAAGCGTAATTATAATTTAGTCTATAGATTTACTTTGTCATTCATCGTAATATATATCTAAATATAGTTTTAATATGTAGTTTTAAGATGTATATATTTAAGTTTTATAGTTTCATACAGCACAATACATCATATATATGTAATGTTGAATTGACGACATTCTTTGAACCAATCAGCGCACGAGATAATTGTTGCATAGTTTTCATTGTCCAATGATAATGTTGACACGAGGTAACGATTACGGCACGACTCTAATACGCCTCTTTTTAAAACTTTTCCCGGGAAACACGGTTGGCATGCGATGCATTCAAGTAATTGTGGTTGTGTCGAACCCTGAATGGTCTGTAATCTTAAAAGCAGAGTTACTCGTTAAGGTTCCTAGTTCGGGCTTTCCAAGTTTCCTCCATTGGCGTTCTAAGTAAGCATTAATAACTAGACTGGGTAAAATCTACTTCATGTAATTAATATTCGATCATTATTTTTCAGAAACATGTGTAGCTATCAATTTCATCAACAAGGCACCAATACCTTTCTACATCGAATCGGATATTAAACACGAGCCATACCTCGTCGATGGCGGAGATTTTAAACTCAGAACAACAATCAAGAATCCAAACTTACACCGACATGTGATGTTCAAGGGCAGAGATCCCAGCGGCAAGAACAGTATTCTGTTATCAGGAGCAAGTAGCATCATAGTAGAACCCAAAACAAGCTGTAAAGATGAGGAGTTCCATGACGTAACCGTGACGTCAAGACCAGGTATGGGTGAATCTGTTACACACTGATCTTTTTTTAGCTTTTCTCTCCTACCGATGCCTTCCTAAGAATCTGATTGCCAGACTGGATGGCTTAAGATTCGCGTCATAGTCATTGTTAACCTGTTGACAAATCTATTGAAGAAATAGAAAACGCGCACGCGTGCAGTGTGCAGTTATAAAGCTCGCGGGGTTGGCAGAACACGAGAGATGTGTTAGGAAAAGCACAACGCGTAGATGAATGCTTCTCGTCACTTCTCGAGTGTTCTGTCAATCCCAAGTACTTTATGACTCCACACAGAACACTAGCAAGTTTTTTATTTCTCTTATAAAATGCTAATTTCAACAAACGTTGTTTTGGATGGGGATGAAGCAACTGAAAGTGCGCGCGCATGCTGTGTGCTCTCATAAAGCACGCGCTCCCAATCAATCAGAACGCGAGATTTATAACGGTTATTTTATGCATAGTAAAGCAGAAAGTGTTGGTATGTCTTTTCACTAAAGCTTGAAATTTGAAATATTCTCCAGAACCACTGCCTCAAAAGCCGACGGAAAGTCTTAAAGGAAACGAAACTCAAGGTAAACTATCTGTCATTCAAAGTAAAGGATGACTGATGATCCTGGTCAGTTAAAAGTTAGATTTCTGATTCTATATGGGACCTGTTTTGGTAGAGGATAATTTTGCCAAAGTACATTAGTTATTTGTTGCGTATTTTTCAGGGCCTCCAGTACACCACCATTATCACTACTACAATCCTCCTCCTCCTCCTCCTCCTCCTCCTCCTCCNCTCAGTTTGGTAATTAACTGGTGAAGAAATAGAAAACGCGCGCGCGTACTTTGTGTACTTATAAAGCACGCTGGGGTTAGCAGAACGCGAGAGATCCTCCTCCTCCTCCTCCTCCTCCTCCTCCTCCAGCACCACTCCAACCCCAACCAGGTACGTTATTTGGTTTAGTTTTTCCATCAAACCTGTGTGTGTGTTCATGTGTTTTATTTTTTCTTATTTCCGTCAACCTTGAACTTAAAAACATCACAAAGAAATAGAGCTTTTAGGTTGTGACGTATTTCCGGGTACAAATGCTTAAAAGCGCCAGACCAGAGCCACCAATGATCCGATTGATGGATTGCAAAAGCATTCCCAAGAGAGTCAAAAGACAAAAGCATCGCGGCCATTGTGGTGCCGTTTACAATGGATGCTAATGAGAAATCTTTTGTTAAATGGCACCGACATGGCCGCGATGACGTAACGTGCAATCGAAAAATACTTGCGCTTGCAATAAACAAGTATCGAAACTGATGAGCTGATCAAGAGCGGGTTCCAACTGAGGAACTGATTGAGCACCTTACCAATTACGATATTCTAAATTGTTGGGTATGAATTATTAATAAGTCTGAGAACAACAAAATCAACTGTTAAGAAATACTCCAGTTTCAAATTCTCTGTTCTACAGGGTTAGCCTCGATTTAGTATTGAATGACTTTGAATTTTCATGTATCCTAGTTAAGGTCCGTGGGACTTCAAAGTGTTTGTATTGTTTACTYTACCGTTGGTATTTCTGAATATTTGGACACCGAAATGAGGCTAACCCTGTATAAACGAGACTGTGATCAAGGAACACAGCGGTCTGCTACTGCTACTGCTACTGCTACTGCTACTGCTACTGCTACTATATTAAAGATAATAAAAATGGGAGATTCTTATATAGCGCATTTATACGTCTCTACGTCTCAATGCGCTCTACATTTATGACCAGTGGAGGACTTTACGGGCTGCATTTAAGGCGCTAGTAGCATATAGACTGTTTTAATTGAACTGTTGCAATTTTGGACCAAGAATTCGTAACTAATTATCATTGTTTTGGGTCGCATTCTACATTTGTAAACGTGATCAATTTTTCCAATTTGCCAGTGTGTCCTTCAACTTGCACGACTACACAATTGTGCCCATCAACCTGTCCTCAGCAGTGCTGCAAAAAGGATACCGTTCATTATATAGAAGCAAAGTCGGTCATCTCCAAGTGGAAAGCGAAGAAAAAATGTAACAGTCACTGCAAAGTACGAAGCAGTGCAGCTAAAGCATCATGGAAAGCACGAAAATACTATTACTGTAAAAAATACTGTTAGAGTTGCGTAAGTTTGAAGGATTTGCGTCGATTATTAGCCTAATCTTAGGCAAAACATTGGTTGGATGTAAATTAAATAAAATGAAACACCTGAAACACGCCGGTGATGTAATAAACACCGGGGGGGGGGGGGGGTGGAGAGGGGGGACTTCGGGAAAAAAGTACCGGGGATGCTCGTCGTATCTCTTAGGGGTAAATAATTCGCGATTTGATATCTTTTAGGGTGTTAAATGCGAATTTTTGAAAATCAGCATTTTCTGGTATCTATTAGGGTATCGGAAAGGGAGAGAAGCGCGCATCGGTATGGCTTATTCTAGGCGCTTTTTATATAAAATTTAATATTATTTGTTGTGGTACCTCGTAGGGGTTAAAAATCATTCAGCCACGCCCTTTTTAAAAGACTTCCGGTATCTTTTAGGGGTCTTTTTGAAAATTTCCGACGAACATCCCCGGTACTTTTTTCCCGGAGTCCCCCCCGGAAATAAACATCTATCATTGAAAACAATTTTTTCAGATTGACCGCAGAAGTGAAAAAGATTGTCTTTCTGTAAATCAGGGTCCGGTTGTAAAAAAGGTAAATAGCGCTATCCGATGGATAAATATTATCCAGTGGATAATTGCATTGAATATTATTCACTGGATGAGGATTCATCCGTCGATGTGGTAGCGCTATCCACCTTTCCTACAACCGGGCAAAGTTGATCAGTTATAAGTCGATGCTGCTATCTGATAAATTTATCCACTGGATAAGATTTATCTATCGCATAGCGCCATCCCCCCTTCGTATAACTTGACCCGTACGTGATGAAATCAGCTTTAAAACGTTTAAAAAGAGGTTCGTATATGTGAAAATAGCTTTCGCGACAATGTTTTATTACAAAAAAAAAACACATTTTCCGTGAGCCTCAGTCTCTCAATAAATGCCCTCCTTTGGCTTTCTGCGATAACATGATATTTTCTTTAATTCTTTTTTTCTTTT